ATAACATTTTTAAATTATTCTCAGAGCGTAGTGACTTTTAAATTGTAATATATTAATAATAAATAATAACAATTAATAATCTAATTGTATTTGAGATTATTTCAATTCAAATATCATTATTTCAATCAAATAAATTAATAATAATTTATTGTTATTAATAATAAAAGTGTAGCACAAGGTGACTACGCTCCGAAATAATTTAAAAATGTTATTGTAAAAATTTTCGATATAGTCGGGATTTTGATAGTCTGGATTATGGTTGTCGAGATTTTGATATAGTCGGGATTTCGAACGTGGGGATTTCGATACAGTCGGGATTTCAATAGACCGTCTTTCGGATGTCGGGCTTGTGATATAGACCCATCAGAGACACCATAGAGCTATTAAAGTCAAATTATTATTGAAACCTAATTTCCTATGTTATATGTAACCTGTAGGTGGCAATCGAAAGCCCGACAACCGATAGACCGTTTATTGAAATACCGACGTTTGAAATGCCGACTGTATCGAAATCCCGACAACCATAATCCCGACTATATCAAAATCCCGACAACCATAATCCTGACTGTATTAAAATCCCGACTATATCGAAAATATCTACAATGTCCTTATTTCTTATAGGTGACTTTGCGGAGACTGGTGAAACTGTGCAGTGCACAAACCAAGTGAGGAGAGTGGAGACGCAAAGATGAAAATAAAATAAAGATAATACTGCTAAAAATGCTTCAACTTGAACTAATTAATTAATAATTAATTTCCATAGTTTTAATTTAATTAATTTAATTTTTCATAAGTTTTATCTATGGGGAAATAATTGTTTGATAGGAAAAACCAAAAAAAATTAAATAAATTTTCATTTGTTTGTAATAAACAAACTTTGTAGCTAAGGATCTATTTTAATTCGACAATGTACACTTGTCATTCATGATTTTTTTTTGAATGATTGAATGTTAATCAAATATTTGAGTAAAGATAACTTACATTAAGCAATTGACGGAATGTCATGATTAGTAAATGAGTAATTAGTTAAAGATGTTAAAATATTAAACAAATATTTGAGTAAAGATATTTTACCTTAAGAAATCATATTGTCGTAATTAGAGTTTTATCTTAAATTAATCAGAATATTCATAAGCAAACTGAGTCGCATTTAACTTGCTTTGTTTTGCATGACGTCCTATGATTATATTGTGCAAACAATCCGACCTCTGAAAATCCAAAGCTAATTAATTTGAAATAAATAATAATGTAAAACCAGCTAGAAATAAAAATGCGGTTTTTCATTATTTCTAAACAGTGCAAATAATTCATTGTTGAATGGTGGTGTCAGGTGACGAATTCCGATTTGGAGTAAATGCGGTGCGAAAAAATCCTATTTCCCCTGTAAAATTCGTGGAATAAAATTAATAAAGAACATATAATTTTTATGTCACATGCGGAAATTATGATTAATCATACATGTAATATTTGCAGATAACCCACTTATTTTTTTTTAGGACGATTTGATAAACAAAAATAACTTTCCAAATTTATAATTTCTACTAATAGTACAAATGGGTCTATATCACAAACCCGACAACCGAAAGACATTTTGAAATTGACATATTGAAATCCCGACTATATCAAAGACCGTCTATTGAAATCCCGACGTTCGAAATCCCGACTGTATCAAAATCCCGACGTTCGAAATTCCGACTATATCAAAATCTCGACAACCATAATCCCGACTGTATCAGAATCTCGACAACTATAATTCCGACTATATCAAAATCCCGACTATATCAAAATCTTAACAACAACAATCCCGACTGTATCAGAATCTCGACAAACTATCGACTATATCGAAAATTTCTACAATAACATTATTAAATTATAATCCCGACTGTATCAGAATCTCGACAACTATAATCCCGACTATATCAAAGACCGTCTATTGAAATTCCGACTGTATCGAAATCCCGACTGTATCAGAATCTCAACAACCATAATCCCGACTGTATCAGAATCTCGACAACTATAATCCCGTCTATATCAAAGACCGTCTATTGAAATCCCGACGTTCTAAATCTCGACTGTATGGAAATCCCGACGTTCGAAATTCCGACTATATCAAAATCTCGACAACCATAATCCCGACCGTAACAGAATCTCGACAATCATAATCTATATCAAAATCCCGAATATATCAATAAATTTTACAATAACATTTATAAATTATTTCGGAGCTTAGTCACCTTGTGCTACACTTTTATTATTAATAACAATAAAATATTATTAATTTATTTGATTTTATTGAATTATTCATAATAAACCTTAACATTATGAAATAATCTCAATTTTGATACAGTCGGAATTATGGTTGTCGAGATTTTAATATTATGGTTGTCAGGATTTCGATACAGTCGGAATTTTGATATAGTCGGGATTAGGGTTGTCGGGATTTCGATACAGTCGGGAGTTCAAAGGTCGGCATTTTGATATAGTCGGGATTTTAATATAGTCGGGATTATGGTTGTCGGGAATTTGATTGGCGGTATTTCGGTTGTCGGGCTTGCGAATGCCACCGAGTAAAAATATTATCAGCGTTTGAAAAATAAACTAATTATGGATGTTTCATGTTGTTTTTGATATTTCTTAAGAATATGTCCTTGCAACATTGAAATTGAAGAATTTCTCAATATAATTAAAGCTCGGGGCTAAATGCATACTTAGTCGACAGAAATCTACACTCAATGTTATTAAATTATAGAGAACCTGTTTTGTTTAACTCAAAATAAAAACAGAATGGGACAAAATATCATTGACATTGATAATTAACAGTCGATGATTCAAGATAAATATTGAGAAACCAACAAATAACTAGATTTAAAAAATATAAAATTTAGTTATTAGTCAGTTAAGATAACTATTGAATAGTTTAAGTAAATATATATTTTAATTCACGAAATTCTACGTAATTTAGAACAATTTGTTAGTAAATCTATGAATATTTAAAATGTAAATTTTAGTTGATAATAAAGGAGGACCAGATTGAAAATTTCTAAAAATAATATAATTACTTTAGTTTAGAAATAGGAACACATTGTGTATTACTTATCGAAATTTGAGCAACGCGAATCCGATTATTTGAGCAACAGTTCCAAGTATCGCGATAAGTGTGTGTCTGCAGTTGTTTGGGATTTTCGAGGCGCAGGAATCCCCTTCCACTTAAAAAAAGGACAACCGGAGGAACAACTCGACCCATCCCCGAATAATTACCAGTAGCATTGAAGTCTTCACAAGCACAACATGAAACTGAAAGTATACATTCTAGGTGCTCTCGTCCTTGTGTTGACAGTAAACGCGCAATCAGGTTTGTACATCCATCTAAAAAAAATGTTAGTATTAATAAATTTGTAATAATAGAAGAATGCGAACTTGCTGATGGTTCTACTGGTGATTGCGTTTTGGCATCGAAATGTCCATCTGCGGTGGATTTGATCAGGAGCGGCCAGAAGCCGAAGATTTGCGGATTCCAGGGTTTGGATTCTATGGTTTGCTGCGATAAATCTAGTACGGTTTTAAGGAAGAGTCTGAAATGTAAGTAATATTAATATGAAATGCGAAGAATTACTATTAATACAATAATAACAACAACAAAAATAGTTTGCGATGAATCGCAGATTCAGAAACCAACATTTGTGGATCCTGGTAGCAACGTGCAACATGCTGTGGGAAGTGTTAACGCTTTACCTAGGGAATTTCTTCATATGGTAAATTAATCCTTGTAGGATATGTGGTTAAATTTTTAATTATTTGTTGATTTAGGCCAGTTTGGGTTATGGATTAGACGTCGATAACGCCGTTTGGGCGTGCGGTGGAAGTCTGATTAGTAAGAAATTCGTCTTAACAGCGGCGCACTGTATATCTAGCAAAGGGTTGTAAGTAATTACCATTGAATGTTTAATATATTTAATAAACTTAGGTTAATTCTTAATTTTATACTACTTATTGCAGAGGCAACGTGAAATTTGTAAGATTAGGTGATCTGAATTTGAAGTTGTACAACGAAGCGGCAGAACCACAGGACTTTCGTGTGGTCAGGACAATTAAACACCCGGATTATAGAATGCCATCAAAATACCATGACATAGCTTTGATCGAATTGGATCGCAACATACGTCTGTCCGCGTACGTAAGACCAGCATGTCTGTACACGGAGAAGGAAAGCTCGAATCTTTCATACATTGCGACGGGTTGGGGAAATCTGGGCTTCAACGGTGAACCTGCCGTCCATCTGCAGAAATTGTATATACAGCAAAAGAACATCGACGAATGCAAGAAGTTCTTCGAGGTGAACGCTCGTAGTCTAAGCAAAGGCATCATAGAAGACATGCACATTTGCGCTGGAGATATTAACAAAGACACCTGTCAGGTAAATGATATTACTGTGACAGTTCGTGTCAAGAAACGTCAATAATTGATTCTTTTTTAGGGCGATTCCGGAGGACCGCTCCAACAGAGGAATATCAAATACATAGATTCTTGGAATATTCATGGAATCGTTTCGTTCGGAAAGCCTTGCGGCTTGAGCAAAGCACCTGGAGTTTACATCAGAGTTTCCAATTACATCGATTGGATTGAATCAGTTGTATGGCCCAACTAAAAATATGACTGCTTTCACTTGACATTTAATATTACTCTGACGTTAGTTATATAAGGAACATATTTAACTTAATTTATTGCTCAATAAAAAATATTTAAACCATTCATTTCATATGTAACAATATTTTTGTATATTATCATTTTTTATATTATTTATAAATTGCAAAAAGTTAAAGTAACTTTTCAAAACAATTTCAATGACTTGTCAAATTCAAATTTAACCATTTGAAATTGCAAATACGCACTTTATGATGTATATTTGTACTCCTTTTTACTAATAATCATAATGTAAATTTTATTTGATAATAAATGAGAACCTGATTGAAAATTTAAAAAAAAAAAGTTAATTTAGTTTATGTTTAAAAATATACACACATTATGTATGTATATACACACGAAGTTTGGTCAGTGAGCAACGCGAATCCGATCATTTGAGTAACAATTCCTAGTAATGCGATAAGTGTGCATCTGCAGTAATTTTGATCTAGTGACAGTAACAAAGACAAATGTCAAGTAGAGTAATGTCAAACGCAAAGTTTAGATTTACATTATAATTGAACTGTTGTTTATTTGTCAGATTAGTTCAAATTAAATAAATTAAAAAAAATATTTATAAAAAAACAGGAGACTTTATATGTGTTTGCAATGCATCATTTACCATTTTTATAGGTTTCTAATAAACAAAATCCTTACCGAGGATCTCTAACCTATTTTCATCTGAAAATTCCTTTGCTTAAATGTTAAACTAACATTTGAGTAAAGATAACTCACCTTAAGCAATCGATGGATTGTCGTAATTAGTTTTCTTATCTTAAATTAACATGGATAAATCAGCAAAACGGAAATATTCATAAGCAACAACGACAATTCGTCAAATTTCTGCAAAATGAATTTCATAAAGAATACATTAATTTTTTGTCCCATGCGGAAATTTTGATTAATAATCTAGTTACACACATATAATATTTGCAGATATGTTGTTTTTGATATTTCTTAGGGATATATCCTTGAAGAACTTCTCAATATAATTAAAGCTCGGGGCTAAATGCATACTTCATCGACATAAATCTATACTCAATGTTATTAAATTATAGAGAACCTGTTTTGCTTAACTTAAAAAAAAACGAAAAAATAAAAACAGAATGGGACAAAATAAGAAAAAAAATATAAAATTTAGAAATTACTAGGTTAAGATACTTGATTTGTCAAATTCAATGTTAATAGATTGAAATTGCAATTACGTGCTTCATTGTATATGTTTTAATTCACTTAATTTGTAGCTTTTTATTCATAATCAAATAGTTTATTGACTATCTCTCCACATATTAAATTATTGAAAATTTAGTTACTTTAGTTTAGTTTTAAGAATATGCACACATTGTGTATTATTTATCGAAATTTGGTAAATGAGCAAAGCGAATCCGATTATTTGAGCAACAAGTAACAAGATAAGTGTGTGTCTGCTGTAGTATGGGATTTACGAGGCGCAGAAAACCCCTTCCACATGAAAAAGGACAACCGGAGAAAAAACGCGATCCATCCTCAAATAATTACCAGTATCATTGAAGTCTTCACAAACAAAACATGAAACTGAAAGTATACATCCTAGGTGTACTCGTCCTTTTGCTGCGAGTACACGCGCGACCAGGTCCGTACTTCTATTAAAAAAAAAAGAATTAGCATTAACACATTTGTAATAATAGAAAAGTGCGAACTTTCCGATGGTTCTTCTGGTAATTGCGTTTTGGCGTCGAAATGTCCATCTACGGTTGATCAAAAGCCGAAGATTTGCGGATTCCAGGGTTTGGATTCTATGGTTTGTTGCGAGAAATCGGGTATCGTTTTAAGGAGGAGTCTGGAATGTAAGTGGTATTAATATAAAATGCGAATAATTACTATTAATACAACAACAAAAAATAGTTTGCGATGAAACGCAGATCCGGAAAACAGATCCTGGTGCCGACGTGCAGCATGCGATCGGAAGTGTTAACGCTTTGCCTAGGGAATTTCTTCATATGGTAAATTAAACCTCAAAGGATCTGTGGTTAAAGTTTTAATTGTTGGTTGATTTAGGCCAGTTTGGGTTATGGAACTGACGTCGATAACGTCGTTTGGGCGTGCGGTGGAAGTCTGATCAGTAAGAAATTTGTCTTAACAGCGGCGCACTGTGTATCCAGCAGAGACATGTAAGTAATTAACATTCAATATTTATTGTTTAGTATATTTAATAACCTTTGCTTAATGATTGTTGAATTATTCATTCAAATGCATCCTAGTTGACATTTGGCATCATTGCAGATGTAACACTTATTATCATTGTTTTCTAAAACGCAATTTGCTTAAGAACTTATCAATATTACTTCTTATTTGGATACTATTTATTGCAGAGGCAACGTAAAATTTGTTAGATTAGGTGATCTGAATTTAAAGTTGTACAACGAATCGGCAGAGCCACAGGACTTCCGTGTTGTCAGAACAATCAAACATCCGGATTATAGAATACCTTCTAAATACCATGACATAGCTTTGGTCGAATTGGATCGCAAAGTACGTCTTTCCCCGTACGTAAAACCAGCATGTTTGTACACGGAGAAGGAAAGCTCGAATAAATCATTCATTGCGACGGGTTGGGGAAATCTGGGCTTCAACGGTGAACCGGCTGTACATCTGCAGAAATTGTACATACAGCAAAAGAACATCGATGAATGCAAGAAGTACTTCGAGGCGAACACTCGTAGTCTAAGCAAAGGCATCATAGAAGACATGCACATTTGCGCTGGAGATATTAACAAAGACACCTGTCAGGTCAGTGATATTACTATGACAGTTCGTGTCAAGAAACGTCAAGTATTGATTATTTTTTAGGGCGATTCCGGAGGTCCGCTCCAACAGAGGAACCACAAATACTTTGATTCTTGGAACATTCACGGAATCGTTTCGTTCGGAAAACCTTGCGGCTTGAGCAAAGCACCTGGCGTTTACATCAGAGTTTCCTATTACATCGATTGGATTGAATCAGTTGTATGGCCCAACTGAAAATATGACTGCTTTCACTTAACATTTAATAGTATTGATAAATAAATATATAACTATTATTTAAACTATTCATTTAATTATTTTTAAAGTAAATATAAAAAAAAAATATCATTTGGTATCAAAATTGTAACAATGTTTTTGTATTTTCATTTACTTTTTAACAAAAATTTTATCAATTTTTATATTATTCATAAATTACAATTACTTTATGATGTATATTTTTACTCATTTACTTATTATTTTGCGTTTTACTTATGTTCAGGATAATAATCACAATATACATTTTATTTGATATTATATAAAAAAAAAGTTACTTTAGTGTAGATTTAGATATATGCACGCATTATGTATTATTTATCGAAGTTTGGTCAGTGAGCAACGCGAATCCGATTATTTGAGTAACGCGATAAGTGTGCGTCTGCAGTAGTTTGGGATTTTCGAAGCGCAGGAATCCCCTTCCGCGGTACCACATAAAAAAAAAGAACAACTCGACCTATCCCTGTATAATTTCCAGTTGCATCGAAGTCTTCACAAACATAACATGAAACTAAAAGTATACATCCTAGGCGTGCTCGTCCTTCTGCTGCGAGTACACGCGCAATCAGGTTCGTACCTTGATGAAATAAAAGACTTAGTGTTATCAAATTTGTAATAATAGATGAGTGCCAACTTCCCAATGGTTCTTCTGGTGATTGCGTTTTGGCGACGAAATGTCCATCCGCGTTGGATCTGATCAGGAGAGGGCAGAGGCCGAAGATTTGCGGGTTCAAGGGTCTGGATTCTATGGTATGTTGCGATAAGTCCAGTACCGTTTTAAGGAAGAGTCTGAAATGTAAGTGGTGTTAATATAAAATGCGAAGAATTACTATTAATGCAACAATAACAACAACAAATAGTTTGCGATGAAACGCAGATGAAACCAAATATTCTGGATCGTGTTATCAACGCTGGGCACGCTATCGGAAGTGTTAACGCTTTACCTAGAGAGTTTCTTCATATGGTAAATTAATCCTCAAAGGATCTATGGTTAAAGTTTTAATTGTTGGTTGATTTAGGCCAGTTTGGGTTATGGAACTGACGTTAATAACGCTGATTGGGCGTGCGGTGGAAGTCTGATCAGTAACAAATTTGTTTTAACAGCGGCGCACTGTATATACAACAGAGACTTGTAAGTAATTATCACTTAATATTTCAATTTTCGGTATATTTAATATTCAAGCAGCTTTGACACTAATTATCATTATTTTCTGAAACTCAATTTATATAAGAATTTACCAATTAATATTAATTCTAATTTTTATATTACTTATTGCAGAGGCAACGTGAAATTTGTAAGATTAGGTGATCTGAATTTGAAGCTGTACAACGAAGCGGCAGAGCCACAGGACTTCCGTGTCGTCAGGACAATCACACACCCGGATTATAGAATACCATCAAAATACCATGACATAGCTTTGATCGAATTGGATCGCAACATACGTCTTTCCGCGTACGTAAGACCGGCATGTCTGTACACAGAGAAGGAAAGCTCGGATCCGTCATTCATTGCGACTGGTTGGGGAAACCTAGGTTTTAATGGTGATCCGGCCGTCCATCTGCAGAAATTGTACATACAGCGAGTGAACACCGGCGAATGCAAGAAGTTCTTCGAGGCGAACGCTCGTACTTTAAGTAGAGGAATCATAGAAGACATGCACATTTGCGCCGGAGATATTAACAAAGACACCTGTCAGGTGAGTGATACTATTATGACAGTTCGTGTCAAGAAAAGTCAATGATTGATTCTTTTCTAGGGCGATTCCGGAGGTCCGCTCCAACAGAGGAACAACAAATACATAGATTCTTGGAATATTCATGGAATCGTTTCGTTCGGAAAGCCTTGCGGCTTGAGCAAAGCACCTGGAGTTTACATCAGAGTTTCCAATTACATCGATTGGATTGAATCGGTTGTATGGCCTAACTAAAATAATATGACTGCTTTCACTTGACATTTAATATTACTCTGACGTTAGTTATATAAGGAACGTATTTAACTTAATTTATTGATCAACAAAAGTTATTTAAACTATTCATTTCATATGTAACAATATTTTTGTATTTTCATTTACTTTTTGATCATAAACATTATCAATTTTTATATAATTCATAAGTTGTACATAATATGTTATATTTTTTGTTTGTTTGAGTTACTACAGTAACCATCATATATTTATCTCAAGTATTAAATTAGAACATTCTAAGAAAAAAAAAATATAAAATTTAGAATTATTACTCGATTAAGATTATTATTGAACAGTTAAAGAAACTTTTCAATACCATTTTAATGAATTGTTAAATACAATGTTAACCACTTACTTATTGCATTTGTGTTCAGGGCATCATTTACAATGTATATTTTATTTAATAATAAATGATACCCAATTGAAAATTTTTATAATTTTTTTTTATATCCTTTATTTTTATTCACAATCTGCCATAATCATGACAATGATTTGAACAGTTTTTTGAAATAGACAAAAAAAATAAATAAAAACAGAAATAAATAGCCTTGGAGCGGAACGATTTTCCATCGGAAATCTTCCTAATTTTATAAATAATAATAATAATGTTTATTGCATCAGTCGTTAAAAAAAAGTCAACTGATACAAAGGGCTCTTGATCATATAGGTCTTTCTGTCCGGGAAATAATATATAATACAAAAAAACAATGGAAAACCGCAAAATTATAACGGTATGATTCAAATTGATAAAATGTGTTCACAAAGAATAAGAGCCGGAAATCCGATTCCCGACTCTCAACGTGAAAAACCAGAAAAAGCAGTGATTCCCAAAGTGCTCTATGACAACCTGCAAGGGGTCTAAGTCAGCGAAAAAAAGAATTAGGAATCCATGAAATGAAAATAACGATAATGGATCTCAACATACACTGATAGTATCTATTTACTACTATCTTATAATATAAAGACATATACATTATTTATAAAAGTACCTATGAAGTAAAAAAAAAATTATATATGTTCATTATTAAAGCATCAGGTTCATCCTTCTCACTAAAAACATTTACTTATTGCTTAGTTTATTTTATGTTACCTATATTTTATATAACAGATACAAATTTTATTTTGAGTAGTTTTAATTTAAATTCAATTAATAAATGTATAAAACTTAACATGTGTTTTTACTTTAAGTTTTTAACACTAAACTTCACTACAGTTAGAAATTTACAAAAAATCAATATCAAAAAAGTTTGGGAACTTCTGCTCTAGAGCAAAACAAAATAGGTGTGCTCAATGCACTCATATAGTAGCTCGTTGGGAGGTTTATGTATTGGATTGTCCGGGTTCTATGTAGAATATAGGAATATGTACACATTGTGTATTTTATTTATCTAACTATTTGAGCAATAATTCCAAGTATCGTGATATGTGTGCGTCTGTAGTAGTATGGGATTTTCGAGGAATCCCCTTCCACAAAAAAAAAATGTACAGATCTACCTATCCCCGAAGCATTGAAGTCTTCAAAAACACAACATGAAACTGAAAGTATACTTCGTAGGTGTGCTCGTCCTTCTTCAGCAAGTACACGCGCAATCAGGTTCGTACATCGATGTAAAAAAAAAAGCCAGCATTAATAAATTTGTAATAATAGAAGAGTGTGAACTTTCCGATGGTTCTACTGGCAATTGCGTTTTGGCGTCAAAATGTCCATCCGCGGAGGTTCCGCCCAGGTGTGGCCTTAGGACGATAATTTGCGGATTCAAGGATCTGCAATTCATAGTATGCTGTGAAAAGTCGAGTACCGTTTTAAGAAAGAGTTTGAAATGTAAGTGTTGTTAATGTAAACAATTACTATTAATGCAACAAAATGCAATAGTCTGCGATGAAATGCACATCCCGAAACCATATTATTCGGATTGTGTTATCACGTCTGCTGCGGGAAGTGTTAACGCTTTACCTAGGGAATTTCTTCATATGGTAAATAAATCATCAATGGATATGTGATTAAAGTTTTAATTGTTGATTGATTTAGGCCAGTTTGGGTTATGGATCTGACGTCGATAACGCCGTTTGGGCGTGCGGTGGAAGTCTGATCAGTAAGAAATTCGTTTTAACAGCGGCGCATTGCATATCCAACAGAGACTTGTAAGAAATTAAAATTTAATATTTAAATTTTTAGAATGTTAAATAACATGTTTGTTGAATAATTCATTTAAAATTCTTTGTCTAAAATTCAATTTGCATAACAACTTACCAATATTACTTACTATTTTTATACTATTTGTTGCAGAGGCAATGTGAAATTTGTTAGATTAGGTGATCTGAATTTGAAGCTGTACAACGAATCGGCAGAGCCACAGAATTTCTATGTCGTCAGGACTATCAAACATCCGGATTATAGAATGCCATCAAAATGCCATGACATAGCTTTGATCGAGTTGGATCGCAATATACGTCTTTCCGAGTACGTAAGACCGGCATGTTTGTACACGGGGAAGAAAAGCTGGGATCCGTCATTCATTGCGACTGGTTGGGGAAACCTTGGCTATAACGGTAAGCCGGCCGTTCATCTGCAGAAATTGTACATAGAGCAAGTGAACATCGGCGAATGCAAGAAGTTCTTCGAGACGAACGCTCGTATTCTAAGTAGAGGAATCATAGAAGACATGCACATATGCGCCGGAGATATTTACAAAGACACATGTCAAGTGAGTGATACTATTATGACAGTTCGTGACAAGAAATATCAATGATTCATTCTTTTCTAGGGCGATTCCGGAGGTCCGCTTCAACAGACGAACGACAAATACTTGGATTGTTGGAACATCCACGGAATCGTTTCGTTCGGAAAGCCTTGCGGCTTGAGCAAAGCACCAGGCGTTTACATCAGAGTTTCCTATTACATCGATTGGATTGAATCAGTTGTATGGCCCAACTGAAAATGTGACTACTTTCACGTGACATTGACGTAACTTGTATATTTTCATTTACTTTTTGAACAACAAAATATAATATGTTATTGTTTTCTGTTTATTATAAAAAAAACATCAAAGATTAAAAAATATTGAATAACATAAGATATAAGAATATTTTAAAAAATAATTTAGTATACAGATTCGAGTCGCAATTAAAATCTTCTAACGGACGAAAAAGGAACGGATGATTTCAATCTGTCATTTCTTTGTAATTTACCGATGAATTAGCATATTATGCAACAATGATTACAAATCTTCGCAATCGAATACATGAAACACGGTAAGTATGCACTGTACGTACACATCTATAATTCATACTTATAGTTGCACAAACAGATTCGGTTTGATAGTTGTTTGATCAATGACCAATTCGAATCTGATAAAGCGTGCAATCATTCGAAACTTATTTATTTACATACGAGTGTGGGTTGCCCAGAAGTTTGGAATTTTAGATTCGCAGTAATCTCCATCCTTGATTGTATAAATAAAAGACCCTACCTGAAAGAAGAGTCAGTAAGTAGTGAAGATTTATAGAAAAAAGATGAAATCAAAATGTTCTCTTTTAAGTTTTGCAGCGCTCATTTTGTTCGTTAAAGCGGAATCAGGTTTGTGTACTTTTAGAAAATCTTCAAATCTTCACTTAATAGATTTGTATTAATAGAAGAGTGTAAATTTCCTGATGGCTCTTTTGGGGATTGCGTATTGGCTTCGCAATGTCCATCCGCGTTGTCGCAGATCAAGGAACGTCAGAAACCTCAAATTTGTGGATTTCAGGGTTTGGATTCTTTAGTTTGCTGCGAGAAGACTAAGACTATTCTGAGGAAAAGTTTGAACTGTGAGTTTTTGTATAAACTATGGTTGTTGGTTCTATTACAAAATTAGTTTGTGAGCAATCGCAGATACCGATGTTGCTAGGAAAGCAAGCGGTTGGTGGTTTCGACGCTTTGCCCAGAGAATTTCTGCATATGGTGAGTCTTTTAGGAAATATATGACTTTTTATATAATTTTAGAGTGGTTTAGGCGAGGGTACGGAGAGGATATCAAAGATGTGGTTTGGGGCTGCGGCGGAAGTCTGATCAGCTACAATTACATCTTAACGGCGGCTCATTGTATTTCCAACAAAGATCTGTAAGTATGATTCAACACTTTGACAACAAATTGACACATAACAATGTTGATTTGACACTAACATTACAAGTTTTATTATGCAGAGGGAACGTAAATTTCGTGAGATTAGGTGATCTGAACTTGAGGTTGTACAGCGAACCATCGGAACCGCAAGACTTTCGCGTTGCCAAGACTTTCAAGCATCCGGAGTACAGGACGCCTTCAAAGTACCACGATATAGCTTTGATTGAATTGGATCGAGCCGTACGGGTTTCAGAGTATGTGAGACCGGCGTGTCTGTACACGGAAACGAAAAGCAGCGTTCCGAACTTCATTGCAACGGGTTGGGGAAACATCGGGTTTAACGGAAAACCAGCTTTGCATCTTCAGAAATTGCACATCCAGCAGACTAGCGTCGAGCAGTGCCGAAAGTTCCATGAAATCAACGCTCGCACTCTGAACAAAGGCATTATTGAAGACATGCACATTTGCGCTGGTGACATTAGCAAAGACACCTGTCAGGTATTAAAAAAGTCAAATGAGAAGTTGACGTGGATTGATCGAAGGGTTGATTTTCAGGGCGATTCCGGTGGACCGCTTCAACAGAGGAACAATAAATTCCAGGATTCTTGGAATATCCATGGTATTGTTTCATTCGGGAAGCCTTGCGGATTGAGCAAAGCCCCTGGCGTTTACATCAGAGTTTCCAACTACATCGATTGGATCGAATCTGTTGTTTGGCCCAACTGAAGACTACAATCCTCTTATCCAAGAATTGTTATAATCTCGCTCTCCATGATTTCGAATTTTATGTTTGTCTTTAATGTATTTAATTTACTTTAATTTATTCTCTGTTAATTAATAAATAATCATATTTTTTACAATATCGTTAAACAAACAATTACATATAAACATTGGAAGAAGCAATTACTTATGCATTTAAGAGCATATTAATGCATAATTATACTAAGTGTACAGTTGATTAAGTGTTAATCTATTAATAATTAACCGGTAATTACGACGTAACGAAGCATAAATTTAATTTATGCATGATACTTTCATCAACGCAATTTGTTTGCTTGAAACGTCTTAATAATTGAGGATATTCATCAAGAAAATTATCTAATATTGATAAGACATATTTATTTCTTATTGGGTTATGTAATATTAGATTAGTGACGTTTCATCATGGGGTTTAATTTGACAAAACTGTCAATATTTTCTGTGACAGTTATCAATGATTATTAATTAAAATGTGTTAAATTTTGTATAAATATTATTAATTAGGCCAGACAATCGATTCTATCCAATCTATGTAGTTTGAGACTCTGGTGTAAACGCCAGGACTGGATGACAATCCACATCCTTTTCCAAAAGAAGAAACACCGAATATTGTATTCAATCTTGGCAGTGGATTAAATAGTATCCTTTTCTGCAATGGTTCACCGGAATCACCCTAAAATTTATACAACTTAGACTCGAATCTTTACTAAAAGTGTACAAATTATACTTGACATGTGTCAATGCATATCTGCAGGTCATCCACAATACCTGACTTTAATTCACCATCAGCTGGATAATGTTGCTTACATTCCATCCAACTCACCAAATCTACTTCAACCTTCTGCACTTGATCGGCTGATTCACCGAAATTCTGCAACAAACCCCAACCAGTTACATTGAATTTATCGTAACCGTTGACATTCCGATCGATGTTTAAGCAGGCAACATTCGGATAAGTAGAAGATAGGACAGAATCGTGCAACTCGATCAAGGCTATATCGTTGTAACGAAGAGGAGGTCTGTAGTCGGGATGTGCGTACACGTTGACCACTTGAAAATTTTCGACATCCTCAATCTTCCTGTTGACTCCTAACCTAACGTAGTTCACTTGCCCTCTGAAATGACCTGTAATATCTTCCATCACAAATCTGTAATACTCACAGATTTTTATCGACGATGCAATGTGCGGCGGTAAGCACGAATTTATCACTTATCAAAGATCCACCGCATCCCCAAACAATTTTATCGCCGACTTCGAATCCCAGCGCCGCCTGCAACAACAAACTCTTGTAATAGATATAAAAATTTAATAAAAAAAACATAAAATCACCATATGAGAAAATTCCATAGCCAAAGATGTTTCTTCATAAAAATTAGAAGAACTTAGATTGTACAGCTGTTTCAATTCATTTATGATATCGCTACAATCTAAAACTTACTAACTTTAAACGCAAATTATTGATTACAATATAAATTACTTACATTTCTTAGCTTTATATCCAAACCCTTGTTGGATCTTAATCGAACTTTGATCTTTAGTCTTCTCAATGATACCAAAATTCTCTAGAATCGCTGCTTTAAGCGAAATCAATGAGTTTAAAAACTCTTTGATTGATGTGCAAATGTCATCTTTACTACTAGGAAATGGACATGTAGCTAAAATGTTTGAAATCAATTACCATTAGATATGCTTTATTTTATATACTGCACCTTGAGTGGAACGGACGAAAAGTGTTTGTAGTATTATTAATTGTAGACAAGTATGCATCTCTCCTTCGACTGCGATAAATCGTTTCAAAATTTGTTTATCTCTTTTTTAATACCAAGATGGGAGATGGTTCTTGCCTTACGTACCTCAGCATCGGATTCAGAAGAATTTTCTTTATTCAAATCTATAAAGTAAACAAAGAAGTCGCGTTTGGTCAAAATCAAATAAATGTTCAATATGACTAAAAAATTGCATCAAGTACAATTGAAATCTTAACTACAAAAAAAAACAAACTGTCGATCAATCCCTTATAATACGCAAACTAATTTACCGATTTTTCAAATGAAATTTATTTTGCAATGAATCAAATGAAAATACGAAGAAATTGTGTGTTGAATCCATCCCTGCGTTTACCTTGAAACAACTATTATTTACTTTAATAATTACTACGCAATGATTATTAAAAAGATGAATACATTCAAACTTATTTGCATCTGACTGCAAAAGAATTCAACAATATGCAATAAAAATTGCTTTAATGTTTCGTGTTTTTTTTTGTACTCTTCATCTAACAAACTATTAAATGTCAGCAAAAATATTGTATATACATATGTAAATAGGTAGAAATTTACTTGTCTTTTAATTGGTATTTAGTATATATTAATCTCACAAGAAAATGGAACAATTACTGTTACATAATAATGATTAATTAGGCCATACGATGGATTCTATCCAACCTATATACTTTGAGACTCTAGTATAGACGCCAGGACTGGCTGACAACCCGCAAGCTTTCCCAAAAGAAGTAACACCAAACAAGGTATACAATTTGGGCTTTGCGCTTCTATGAAATGGAATGATCCTTTGCAACGGTCCACCAGAATCGCCCTAAAATCTCAACAGATTACACTCAAAAAACATACTTGAAACTAAAGTATAATATACTTGACATGTATCGCGTCCCTGATGACCCGCGCATATCTGCAGATCATCCAAAACACCTTTATTCAATCTCCTGTCCGGCGGATAAAACTGTCTACAATCCTTCCAACTCACCAAATCCAGATCAACCTTCTGCAGCTGCTCGGCCGGTTCACCGAGAAACTTTAACAAACCCCAGCCAGTAGCTTTGAAGCCATCATATGGATTCACGTACGGTTTGGTATTTAAGCAACAGACGCGCACTCTATCAGTAAATATTGCAGACGCGTTCAACTCAATCAAGCCTATATCGTTGTAACGTAGAGAAGATCTGTAGTCGGGATGCACGTACGCATTGGTAACTTGGAAATTTTGAGCAGAATAATAATCTTCAAAGTCATCATCGTTCATCAAATCCACATCACCCAACCTAACGTTCTTAACTTCTCCACTACAATTAACAATAATATCCATCTTCCATCACCTATCTACAATACTCACAAATCCTTATTGATTATGCAATGTGCAGCTGTAAGCACGAATTTATCACTTATCAAAGATCCACCGCATCCCCAAACAATCTTATCGCCAACTTTGAATCCGAGCGCCGCCTGCAACAATAAACAAGTTAAAATAAATAACCGAAGAAAGAGATAATATTACCATATGCGGAAATTCTTCAGACAAGGCTATTTCTCCGCCAACTACAGGATAATCCGCTTCATATAACTCTCGCAATTCATCTATTACATGGTCACAATCTAATATAAACATTTAAAATATGAACTATTCATTGCAATTATACTTACATCTCTCTGCTTTTACTCCAATCTGTTCGTTATTTAAACCCTTCTCATATCTTTGGAACTTAGCTTGAATCGCATAGTTAAATGAAGTCAGTGATTTAAAGAATTCTTTGATTGGTGTGCATCTATCTTCATCATTGCTAAATGAACATATACCTAAAAACATATAAAAAAAGGTAATTACTACTATAGTCTAGTACGCATGCTGCACCTTGACCGTAGTTAATTACAGCCGAGAATGTTTGTAGTATAATTATTAGTAGTAGATAAGTATTCATCTCTGGCTCGACTGAGATGAATCGTGTTAAAATCTGGTTATATATTTATGCCTAAAGCATATTTCCAACATTTATGATGAGATGCAAAATTTTATCTCGTCGACGGATTCAAAAGAATTTTACTGTTTTCAATTAATTAAAGATTTATTAAATTACAGAAAAGGATACCTATATGAAAAACTATATATTATGTAAATACAATGTGTTTGTGAAATGAATGTATAGTTTGAATAATAATGATTAGTTTGGCCAAACTATTGATTCTATCCAATCCATATACTTTGAGACTCTAGTGTAGACGCCAGGACTGGAGGATAAACCGCACGCTTTTCCGAAGGAAGTCACTCCGTAAACGGTATGCACTCTTGGTATTGACGTTCTATCGAAATGAATGAACCTTTGCAATGGTCCACCGGAATCACCCTGAAATCACCCAATATCTTATTAAATAAGCACATTTCAAGATTAAAATCTAATACTTCGCATGTATCGCGACTCGGATGACCAGCGCACAACTGCGAATCATCCAAAATACCCTTATCCAATTTCCTTTCGGGCGGATAATGTTTATTGCACTCTTCGAAGTTAACGAGATTAAGTTCGAGCTTCTGCAGATGATCAGCCGGTTCACCAGCAAACTTCAATAAACCCCAACCGGTCGCTATAAGACCACCATCGGGATTTACATTTGGATCCGTGTTCAAGCAAGCCATGTGCGCGTAAATCGTGCTGTCGACAGACCGATTCAACTTGATCAAAGCTATATCGTTGTAGCGAGATGGGGACTTGTAGTCCGGATGTCTGTAAACGTTAGCAACTTGGAAATCTTCAGGTCTTGCGTTGTCGGTGTCCAGTGCCAAATTCAGATCTCCCAAGCGAACTTGCTTTACTTCACCCCTGAAATTAACTGTAAAATCTTTCACTCGAAGTTAGAAACACTCACAAATTTTTATTGGCTATACAATGTGCGGCTGTTAGCACGAATTTGTCGCTTATCAAAGACCCACCGCATCCCCAAACAATCTTATCGTCGACTTTGAATCCAAGCGCCGCCTGCAAAAACAAACCCTTACAATAAATTTAATCTTTTATGAAAATTACCATATGTGGAAATTCAAAAGCAAGAGATCTTTTCCCTCCGTAAGCTGCGTAAGCGTTGTCGTATTTTTTTGCCAAATAATTTACAAATTGGCTGCAATCTGAAAAATAGATCTATTAAAACGCGATTTTTAGATCAATATAAATTACTAACATTTCTCAGCTTTCGCTCCTGCTTGCTGTTCGGTCAGTTGAATGGAACGCTGATCGCAACAGACGAGAGGAAGACCATCCGCTTCTCCACAGACCTTCGCTTTTGTTCCTGCCTTAAGTAGAGCAAGTGCACTCAGACATTGCTTGATTGGTGTGCAGATGCCTTCGTTTCCACTCGGCAAGGTGCATATTCCTATAACACTTGAAAATAAATACTAAATGGACACGCATTCTTATTGTACTCTTCACCTTGACCGCAAATCGAGATGACTTGAAGTATTACTAGCACTAATATTGGCCAAGTATTCATCTTCGACTGCGATACAATATTGTGGAAAATCCGGTTATATATATATACACACGAATATGCGTTTTGCATTTATTAAAATCCTCAGCGACGGATTCAGAAGTATTTCATTTTCTGCCCTAACACATCTTCATATTACAACTTTTATTTCCATATATAAATAACTTCTAATCACAGTTATTTGTGCATTAAATCAAACCAAAGACACATTATAATATAATATAATTATGCAACATCGAAACTACAAAACATGGTTTAAATCCACCCCTGATCTGACCTTGTTGTCTTCTAGCATGAACAGTTTTTGTATTGTTTTCGGAAAATGTCGATTTACATAAAATTCAATAAGAAAATAACAATACAAACACTTTTACCTCGGCAAAAGAATTTTACTGTTTACGATGTTTAAGGAGATTTTAAAAACAATTTTTTCCAAGGTCATTTGGTTAACAGTTTTGTGTAGAAGATCCAGAGAGAAACAATTTTATTTCAATTAATTATTCACTTAATACTAGTGTAAGAAATAAACATTAAGTTTGTTCGTATATTTTATACTAAATATGAAATATTTTGTATTGTTAATTTGGCCAAACTATAGATTCTATCCAATCTATATAGTTAGAGACTCTAGTGTAGACCCCAGGAGTTGCCGACAAACCGCACGCTTTTCCGAAAGATGTCACTCCGTAAACGATATGCAATTGCGGTACAGACGTTTTCTCAAATGTTATCCTCCTTTGCAACGGTCCACCGGAATCACCCTAAAAGTACAAAATCTTAATAACTTAGCACATTTCAACAATAACATCTAATACTTCGCATGTATCGCGATTCGGATGACCAGCGCACAACTGCATATCATCCAAAATACTCTGATTCAGCTTCCTTTCCGGTGGATAATATTTCTTACACTCTTCGAAGCTAATGGCATTAAGTTTGACCTTCTGCAGATGATCTGCTGGTTCACCGGCGAACTTCAATAAACCCCAACCAGTGGCAACAAAACCTTCTTCAGGATTTATACTCGGATCCGTGTTCAAGCAAGCGATATGCACGTAATACGTTTCTTTTGCAGTCTGATTTAACTCGATCAAAGCTATATCGTTGTAGCGATATGGAAACTTGTAGTTTGGATGTTTAAAAACGTTGGCCACTTGGAAATTTTGAGGATCTGCATCGTCGGTGTCCACTACCAAATTCAGATCACCCAAGCGAACTTGCTTTACTTCACCCCTGAAATTAACTGTAAAATCTTTCACTCGAAGTCAAAAATACTCACAAATTCTTATTGGAAATACAATGTGCGGCTGTAAGCACGAATTTGTCACTTATCAAAGACCCACCGCATCCCCAAACAATCTTATCGTCGACTTCGAATCCAAGCGCCGCCTGCAAAAATAAACCCTTTAATAAATATAAAAAATGAATGAATGAAGAGATACAATTACCATATGAGGAAATTCCATGGCAAGAGAAAATTCCCCATTGTAACTAGGGTAAGATCCTTCAAATTTTTTTACCAAATAATTTACAAACTCGCTGCACTCTAAAAGATAGACTTTTAAGACGCAAACTGTTTGAGCATAATATAAATTACTAACGTTTCTCCGCTTTCGTTCCTGGTCCTTGTTCGGTCAGTTGAATGGAACGTTGATCGCAACAGACAAGAGGAAGACCATCCGCTTCTCCACACACCTTCGCTTTTGTTCCTGCTTTAAGTAGAGCAAGTGCGCTCAGACATTGCTTGATTGGTGTGCAGATTCCTTCGTTTCCACTGGGTAAAGTACATACACCTGAAATATTTACAAATCAATGATACGTAGACAAGAATTGTTTTAGTTCACCTTGGCTGCAAACAGAGAGAGCCTGCAGTATTACTAGCACTAATATTGAACAAGTATTCATTGCTTCTTCGACTGCGATAAAATATCATGGGAAATCCAGTTATATAGTTACGCGAAAACCGTTTTTCAAAAGGAAAATGATATGCTTTTTGAATTCATTAAAATCTTACCTCAGCGACGGATTCAGAACTATTTCTTCTTCAAACTACTTTTATTCAATCGTTTAGAAATTAATGTAATTCAGTTCTTTAGTTAAACTTATTGGTGAAGGTTATTGGTGCAATTTCAATCTAATTACATCATTATACTTTTTTGTACATATTAATATAATTCATTTTATTAACAACGGAAAATTGTATTATGTGAAAATAATTACGCAATTTCAAAAATACAAAGCGAGGTTTGGATCCACTCCTGCTCTGACCTTGTGATTTTCTTGCATGAACAGTTTTGTTTTCGAGAAATTTCTGATCATTTACATGCAATTAAAAGAATAATTATGGTTGTATAAAAAAAATAACAATTCCATTTAGTAATTTATTTGTTTCATATTTTATCGTATAAATAATTAATTGAAGCATTTACAGTTTACCCCTTTCCGGCGTACGTGGGGTTCTTGAACGTGGACGTGGCTTGTCTGTATATCGGATTTTCGCCCTAAAAATATAATTTTGAAGAATTTGTTACTAGTAAATTGTTAATATGTTCTTACGGTGTCCCATTTGGCCATCATTCGTTCTTTTTCGAATTTGGCGAATTCTCGTCTATCGTGGATAGTTGTCAGGAGTTTCCAGAGCAATAGGATAGCCAAGCCCATGAATACAATAGCAGCTATTACTCCAAGAACGATACCCAAGAGAAAAACCTAAGGTAATACAGTGTTAGATGTTGGTTTATTGTATTTGTTTTAGTTACAAACCTTGGCAGGGCATTCGCGCTCTTGTTGCGCTTTGACGACAACCTTATTATGCTCATCGAAGTAATAGACATACGCGAAACGACAGTCGTCCTCGTCGTAAAAAGCGCAAAGATTTTCATCGTTTTCTTCTTTAGCTGTAAATCACAACATAAATCTAACATCTTTACTTCTTGTGTTAATATTTACCTTCGACTTGCTCGACACCGATTGGTGTAAATTTTGTACAGTTTTTGGCGCATTCCTCCTCATTCAAAGGACCAGTCTTATACATCTGACATTGCACGCAATGTTTAAACTCTTCGCAGCGATCTGAGCAAGTCTGCAATTACAAAATAAGTAAACCCTAATTCTTGTACACCAGTTAGATTACTATCTTACAGGACATTTTTCGCAGTATCTTCCGGAGTACCTGCCTTCTTCAGTGCTCTCGCATTTACAGGATCCGCATTTACATTCACCGTGACCAGAACAAATCTCACCATCCAACACTCCAGGTGCAAAGCAAGTCTCGTTGGACATTCTGCAGTCGCAAGCAGCGCCACCCCATGGTTCTTCACACTGGCAAACACCGCATTCACAAGTTCCATGTCCGCTGCAGATCTTACCCTCGTGTCTGTCGCAAGAGAAATTGTCGCACTCGCAGAAATTACCATAAACTTTTTCCTCCTCATTACTCCTAACATTACATTCACATCTTCCGCAAACGCAGCTGCCTCGTCCAGAACAATCAACGGTACTTGAGTTATCAACCCTACATCCTAAGGTGTTCTTGATATTCTCCATTTCACTGGCAGAGCATTCGCAGTAGCGTCCGAAATGGGAGTGATCGCATTCGCATATTCCGCACTTGAATGTGCCAAAACCACGGCACTCATCAGCCTGCTCTATGTAGCCCTGTTGGATGCATTACAAATTAATCAATATGTTCCAAGTAAGTTGCTTTAAGTACTTACAGCATGACCAGGGTGTTCGCAGGGGCACGAACATAGCATTTCCAAATCAATGGTCAGACTTTCGTTCAGACCCACCGGATAGATCTGAAGAGTCTGCTTCCAATCCTTGGGGTCCTTCGGACATTGAGTCACCTCAATCTCTACTCTAAATGTAATCACGTCTCCGACCTTAATGTTACCGCACTTATTCGTCTTCTTGTCACCGCCGCTCTCATCCAAACATTGCGAGTAATAATTGATCTTAATGTTATTGCTCGCGTTATCCTTCATCTCAACGGTCGAGGATATTTGCTGATATTGTTCCTTAACCAGATCTACGATATTCGAGGAATCATTAGATAACTGTCCGCTGAAAGCTCCCTCTATGTTTTCCTGAAGCTTCTTGTAGACTCCGATCTGCTCCTCAGTCACCGCGAAGATTAAATTGATAGCATTTTGCTTCACTTTCAGATTGATTTGAGAGATGCTTGGGTAGTCTTGAAGCGATGAATGCGTGTACAAGCCGTTCTCCAAATGGCACATACCGTCATTGGGCTTTACAATTCCACCTAACTGTTACAATTAAAAAGAACATCATAATTACTCATTAACTAATTATATAATGAATTTACCTTTCCGTCTCCGGCGTAATGGAATCCTGCATCAGTCGAGAACACCAATAAACGACGAGCTTGTTCTCTCCAACCTATTTCATCCCTGCACACTACAGCTTGCATTATGGCATCAAATCCGCCCTCTGGAGCATCCAAGTTACCAGATACAGCTGCCTCCTTCACCATAGTCTATAGAAATCGTTTAATTTTATATTAAAAACAAATCATCGAGTAAAATAGAATTGCCAAATTGTTGGTTTTTATTAAAAATGCCAAAATTAAAAACCTGTTAATATCAATTTTAGGATTTAGTTGATAGTAATAAGTTTAACAAAATAAGTAGGAATTTCCAGTTAGTTTTTATATGATGCACAGAGGCCGCGTTTTATTTACATCAACAATATCTCGAATCAAAACAACAATATTAGTCATTTACTATTCTATACATATTATAAACTCACCATAGGCGAAATTCAATTCGCTTCTAAGCATATTGATCTATGAATAACAAAGCTTTCCAGTTAAACGCAAGTGTATATATGAGGATAAAGAATTCACACAGAATGTTTTGATTTGAGTTCGAGTTTGTATTTTTAAATTTGTGCATTTCTAGTAAAGTTTTGGCAACGATAAATGTCATTTGATTATTTACCCCACGAGTTTGTAAATGATTTGTTGTAAGTAGAATGTGTGAACGACAAGATGTTGAATCGTCGGTCATAAACCGTGTAAATGTGTTTAGGGTTAATACGTATTAGATCATGCTGGAATATAAACATACGAGTAATTAGTTTGTGGTGAAGACGGTGGACGTTGTTAATTCATTTATATATTTTTCATGTTTGTTTCTCTTCGACTTACGGAAAACCTATTGGTATCGGTGTCCAACCTCATTGCATGACGGTAACCATAAGGTGCAGCACAGCCCGTGCAAGGTTCCCGCAAACTATAACCAATAACTTAATACTAACACCTTCTTCGCATGCAACGAGACCTCATCTTCGGAGGTAACCACATACAACACAATAAATACTCATCGCACATCAAGCAAAAAAAAAGGAACTTGTACAGTCCTCCGGATGCATGCTACATTGATTCAAACGAAAAATAAAATGGACAAAGGATAACAAAAAGACAGATGTGGTTTCATTCAGGACGTTTCTAACAATCTACTTGAAATAGGATGGATCTGGTCTTGTTAATCATTTCTTCCCCGGATTGTTTGAGATCATCTAAACTTACTGAAAATCTAGAGGTATCAGTGCTTAAGGTCATATGGTTACGGTATCCGTAAGGCGCCTCGCAATCCTGGCACGGGGCTTTTAACCTATTAATAGCGGCAACAAATAACAAGAAAACAAAACAACAACAAAAAAAACGTGTGTCAAAATATTGAAAGAAAGATAGAAATGTGAAATTGACTACAGGATTTAAGCTATTCATCTTGTGCGGAGAAAAAAGACTTACTTTTTCGGTACGGTGCTCACGTAAGGCATAACAACTTTATCCACGAAACTGCCGAAACCCAATCTAAAGTTCGAAGTTATGTTTCGCATCGATTCGGCTAAAAGATTTCCCAGAAGAGATAACTTGTCCTTATCGTCCTCCATGGACTTGGACAAATCCATAAGGTAATAAAGATCAACTGGATAATCTTCGGCTTGAGTGTAGTGCATCTGAAAGCTGTACGATTGTCCTGAAAAGAATGATTGATAAGATTTAAATCTAGCAAAAGTGTAAAACAACTAACTGGCTCTCAGTTTCAAGTTGACTTTTTGAGGTGAAATCTGAACAATATTGGATTCGCCGAAGCCGCCGCCGCTCGAGGACGAGGAACCGTGCGAGTGGGAAGACCAAGAGCTGGAACCCGAAGAGCTATGGCTGGAAGAACCTTCAACGCTCCAACCGGATTCCATGGTTCCGCCTGCCGAACCTACAGCTGCATGGGCTTTGGACAATTCCCTGGCGATTAGCACTTGCAGGACATTATCTGGATTCCATACGTATTCTTCTGGGCAAGATTTTGAACCCGGATTCGAAGGTTGGAAGCATCTGGCCCTTTCACCGAAATCCTGTTTACATATTTAGAATTACAGTTAAAGCGATTTCATTTATGTTCCAAACTTACCGGTTTGTAGCACCACGCACACGATGGCGTTTGGATGCAGTCATGGCAATTGGATTTGGCGATACACGGATTTTGTGTCAATTTCTCCGGGACCTGTGCATTCCCTATGATTACGAACGAGAGGAACAAAATTATGTTCCGAATCAGCTGCATTCTGAAAAACATATTTATAACAATTACATCATTAATATATAACAAACTTGAAACAATGCAATTAAAATAATACAAATATTAATTCAATTATCATTAATGATGACTAACAAAATAATAACAAAAGATATATGCATTTGTAACATGAGTAAAACTATATTTAAAGGCGTGACTCAACCATTCATAAATAATGCAACGTGATGTGCTGTAAATAGAGTTGCATAAACAATGTAAATAAAGTCATAGCTTTATTGGTGAATTTGCACAATTAATATTTAGAACAAAGACTATTAACTTGGGGAATTAATTTGCGTAGGGCGGTTTCATTCTCATCGCAATTGGTATAAATATAAACATAATGTTATGCGCGCGCTGAATCTAATTGGAACACCCACACTATTATTATCAGAGTACTGACTGTTATTTTAAACCCTTATTAATTAAGTTTAGCACATATTAAACATCTGGTTATTGGGGTTATGCATTGGGGGTTGTTGAAATAATCGTTCTTCGCCCGAATATCCAACCCCTTTCAATAATTAAGTTAAAGGGGTTAAGTAGCAGTTAAATGGTTACTGATTTGTTGTGGTTTTGGTTATTTTTTTGCAGTATGTATACCTTATTCTATACATTCCAATACGTATTGGTTTCCAATTGATAATCCCTGCAAGGTGTTGTTCTATTTGCTCAAGATAAGTCGCGTAAACACATAAAGTCAGTCACACCTCTTGTTACTCCATGTTACTCTGAGCTGCACGAGCTGCACTAAGACGATTCTATATTTGGTAAAATGAATTACTTGAGCGCCATCTGCTTTAACATCTTGGAACACATTTAAAAGACCATTCACCTAAAGATTATTAAATCATAATAATTATGTTGTTAATAAAATTAGTGAATATCTAATCTTACCTAATTTACTAAATGGTCAATGGTTTTATATGTATAATCTATAGTATGATCTGGACTTCTGAAGTGGACAAGACCTAAATTTAAATAATGGAAATTCATTTAATTTTAATCCCATAGATAAATCAAGCAAATGATAAATCTAGTGGATGAAAACGAGATCCGTCACATTTTCTGTACGAAACAGATGCAACCTCAAGAAGGTAAAGGTGTACGATCTTGCATCAATTCAGAGGCTATGTTTTGCGCTTGAATTGATACCTGGTTAGCATCTTCGAGAGAAGATGATATACCTTTAGCACCTGGACATGCGGACACGTGGAAGCCGCTGCTCTCATTCACAGCAAATGAGAGCAAACGCGCGACCGCACACCCGGGAGGAATCAAAAAGAAAATAGGGAAAAGGATAGAAGGAAATGCTATGTTCTAGGTACCTGAAAAGGAACGTAACAATTAGTGACATGACATACAAATGAAATTAAATCAATCCTGAAACAGAAGAACACAAAGACATGATACACACCCGACCCGAAACATGAACGAAATATAAGTTTACACAATCTATAAGATCGTATTAAAAATACGATACACATTTATAATTACAATAAAAATAAAATTGCATTGCACATTGAACATCATTATAATATTTAACAGGAGAGGAATAAATGGAACGTCCATTTTTTCTCTCATCTTTTTTATTTTTTTCATTCCTTTGTTTTATGTATATGTTGTTTTTTTATTATTGTTATTAATCCATATTTTATTTTTAATATTTTTTTATGTATTTATTTGTTTATACATAATATTTTTATTAATCCATTTTTTTTAATGTTTTGTATGTATCTATTTGTTTATACATAGTAGTTTTATAAAATATGATTTTCTTATTATTTTTTCTATATTATGAATGAGTGTAATATGCAATGCATAACAATATAATCGCTGTTCAGTATTGTGACTACTCTATAGGCTTTGAGTAATCGCCGATAGCTTTACAAATTAAAAATGTGTAATATGCAATGCATTATAATATAATCAAGCGCTTTTGCATTGTGACTACTCTATATTTTTACAAATTAAAAATATAAATTACAACCTCATTAAGCTGTCCAGCATTGTGACTACTCTATAGGCTTTGAGTAATCGCCGAAAGCTTTACAAATTAAAAATATAAATTACGACCCATTCAATTCCTCATGTGCGAGGGGGGGTAGGATATAGGGAAAGGATAAGGGTAAATGCGAACCGGAGACTCGGCGGTTCTAGGAAAGGATGGAGAGTCCTCT